AGCTGGCCTCAGAGCACCATGCCAAGCACTCTGCACCCACCATCCCCCTCACTTTCACGGCCCCAGGAAGCTCATAGTCTCCCACAGTGCAGATGAGGATGCTGAGACCAGGGGAACAATGGCCCAGCAGGAAACCCGGGAGTACACCAAGAGCTGCAGGTTAAGCCCAGGTTGCTGGCATCCAGGTTACAGCACTTGATCTTTTGGGAGAAAGTTATCTTTGCAAAATAAATAAAGACTTTGTAGCAGACCTAAGTCATCATCCTCCATGAATAATAAATAAGATCACGTACTTGGAGATCCAAGATAGCAGGCCAGAGGGAGGCAGCATTGTGAGTCACTCTGTGACCTGGGACTCAAGTAGTGAGAATACTGCTTCTCTGCTAGTGATGGAGGACATCCCCACCGAAGCTCCCATGCAGGAATCACAGCCACGTGCCAGTAGGTCTCCCAAATACTCGACCATGCAGGACTACCAGGTGCCCGAGCGAGACCACCAGCATCAGCACCCGCGCAGAACTTTCAGCCACTCACCTGAGCAGAAATCCCAGACACTGCTCCAATGCAAGACACCCAGCAGCTACCCATGAGCAGGAACTCCAGCCGCCACTCCCATGTGGACCCCCATCTACCAATATGGGGTTCCCTGGGTTGCCTTCATCTTGGGACTTTGCAGAGACAGTCCCCTATGCACAGTAGCCTGCCTGCACCTGGGAACATCGCACAGGCTCTGAAGATAGCTGACAGGCACATGCTGTATCCACAGAGCTCGACTCTGCACACATCATCCAATGCCAACACCCGGCTGTCCCCGACGCGACCCGATACCCCATCGCTGAAAGTAGTGGCCTCCTTCTTGGATCACCTTCATCATCATCTTTAGTGGGGGCCACTCTGGCTGGCCAGGTGCCCATAGTTTCTAACTCCCCCTCTCCCAGCTGCTAAGCTGGCACAGTGACTGCCCAATACCAAACAGCTCCAAGCAGTATGTGTTCAGCACCCAAAGGAGAGAAAGATCCCCTATTAGGAAGTAGAAAGAGGGTGGGCGAGTGTGATACAGCTTAGAGACTAACAGGGACCAGGGACTGGGAGGTCTTCAGGCGAGATAAGGAGACAAGACCAGGCGCCCACATCACACGAGGGACCCCAAGGAGATCCCTGAGGTGCAGTCTCCCTTCTGGGACTGGCAGGTGCCACACCCCACTTCCAGATGCCCTCCACCCAAGACCAACCCTCCCTCCCTGGTACCTTCACCATCCTGAGGGTGGAGATACCAGCAAACATCAGATGACTCCACCTATGGGACCAAGAAGGGAAGCAGGAAAGACACTGATCTCCAACCAAAACAGTCCTTGGAGATTTTTTTTCTTCTCCCTCTCTAGTCTCCTGCCCCCACATCCCCAAAATAAGTGAAACCAAGTACTTGGCATGAATTAGGATACTGAGGGCTGGGGTGTCTGAATAGTATGTTACAGTTGTGTTGTATATTTTTTTTCTTACTCCAAATATTTACTATTTGAACATTTTTATTTTTCTTGCTATATATGTGTGATTGTTTCAGGTACTGTACTGTCTTCCAACTTACTTGTCTACCCAAAATTACTTCCTCTCTCTCTTCCTACTACTAATCTTCTTTAGATTTCTCTTTCATACTTCCTAAGATATAATAACCCTATATCCTCACCTCCTGCCTCCTCGGCATATCATCCTACTTCACCACCCTTATTCTTTGTCCACCATCAGAAAATGTAAATCTTTTTACAACCCTATTGATTATATTGTAGATAATAATTGAAATCACCATTTCTGTACATTGTGATGAAATTGTGAATTTCTTAATAGCAACTATATGACTTAAGGTTGTATATTGTTTATATTGGGATCTATTAACATTGTCCTTCCCCTCAAAGGAGAGATATTGGAACCCTACAATAAACCCATAAAGTAAAAACAGTAACGCCTTGGATCCCCAGAGCTAGAAGGGAAGTCACACAAACAACATGAAAAGACAAGGGAAGAAAGTGTCCAAACAAATCAAGATATCTCACTGTTAGAATCCAGGGCCAGCACGGCAGAAATAATGACAGAGAAGGAGTTCAAGATGTACTAATTAAAATGTTCTGTGAATTAAAAGATGATATAAGAGAGCAAATACTAGCAGCAAAAGATCATTTCAATAAAGAGCTACATAAACAAATACAGGAAGCAAAGATTACTTTGATAGGGAGATAAAGTCTCTTAAAAAAGCCAAACAAAAATCCTTGAAATGAAAGAAACAATAAACCAAATTAAAAGTTTAGTTGAAAGCATCACCAACAGATTAGACCACTTGGAAGACCAACAGATTAGACTACACCTCAAACATTGAAGACAAAATAATTTTGAAAAGAATATAGGCCACACAGTAAAAATGGTAAGAAACCATAAGAAGAACATTCAAGAAATATGGGATAGCATAAAAAGGCCAAATCTAAGAGTTATAGGGATAGAGGAAGGCCTAGAGGTCCAAACCAACAGAATAAACATTCTATTCAATGAAATAATATCAGAAAATTTTCCTAACGTGAAGAATGAATCGAAAAACCAAATATAAGAGGTTTAGAGAAGTCAAATGTACAATATCACAACAGATCCACACCAAGGTATATTATAATGAAAATGCTTAACATACAGAATAAGGAGAGAATTTTAAAAGCCAGGAGAGAAAGGAATCAGATTACATCTAGACCAATTAGATTATGTGTAGATTTTTCAACCCAGACTCTGAAAGCTGGAAGATCCTGGAACAGCATACATCAAGTTCTGAAAGAAAATGGATACCAACCAAGAATCTTTTTTTTTTAATTTATTTTATTTTTCCAGCCAAGAATCTTATATCCAGCAAAATTAAGTTTTACATTTGATGGGAAATAAAAACCTTCCATGAATAAACAAAAGTTAAAAGAATTTACAACTAGAAATCCTGCACTATAGAACATCCTTGGAAGAATATTCCAAGAAGAGGAAATGAAAAACAACAATGAAAATCAGCAGAGGGAGGTATTACACTAAAGGAAAAACTAATCAAAGGAGAAACTAAGTCAAGTTAAATAACACAAATGGCTAGGAATACAAATAATATCTTAATAATAAACCTCATGTTCTGGCCTAAACTCACTATCAAAAGACATAAGCTAGTAGATTGGATAAAAAAAAAAAAAAAAACTTGCTGCCTCCAAGAGACTCATCTCACAGGAAAAGATATACACAGATTGAAGGTGAAGGGTTGGGACTGCAGAAGCAAGCAGAGGTTCCATCCTCACATCAAATGATGTCGACTTTCCTAGCCTGTGTGAGCTTTGGGTTTGATCCTCAGCACTACATAAAAAATGAACAAAATAAAGGTATTGTGTCCATCTACAACTAATTATATATATATACACACACACACACACACACACACACACACACATTTTTTTTTAAAAAGAAGGATATTTAATACTGCTCAAGGGAACCATACACCATCAAAACTATAATTATAAATATATATGCCCCAAACAATGGAGGATTTATGTTCATCAAACAAACTCTTCTCAAGTTCAAGAGTCAAATTGACCACAACACAATAATTCTGGGAGACTGTAACACACCTCTTTCATCACTGGATAGATCTTCCAAACAAAAGCTGACAAAGAAACTATAGAACTAAATAATGTAATCAATAACTTATACTTAACTGACATATAAAAATATTTCATCCTTCAATGAGTGAATACACTTTCTTCTCAGCAGCACATGGAACTTTCTCTAAAATAGACCGTATGTTGTGCCACAAAGCAACTCTTAGCAAATATACACATGTAGAGATACTAACCTGCGTTCTATAAGATCATAATAGAATGAAATTAGAAATCAATGATAAAATATGTTGAGAGCCGTAGCCGAAGGGGCCCCAGCAAACTTCCAGCTGCCAGCTGATGATTGGCTCACAGAGGCCCCAGCAACATCTAGCTGATTGGCTCCTCTGCGGTGATGCTCATTGGACTGTTTTTCTGCCCTTTAAGACCACAGAGCTGCTCATTGGGGGACTTTTTTGGCTCCACCCACGTGACTCAGCCAATCGGCCTCAAGAGCAGGAGGATTGTGGGAGGTGGGGAGAGGCTTGTTTTTTGGTGAGAGAGGATTGTGGGAAGCCGGTGGTGACAGTTGGGCTCTGAGGGTTTTTCCTGAGGAGCTGTTTGGTTTGGCCTGTGTGGTTCTAAAAATAAAGTTCGTTTCTTTTGACAAGTGGCTCCTGAATTGTGCCCAGCCAGACTGCGGCAAAAATAAAAAATAAAAACACCTGGAGACTAAATAATATGCTACTGAATAAACAATGGGTTGCAAAAGACATCAAGGAGGAGTTTAAAAAATCCTTAGAGGTAAATGCGAACACATATTAAAATCTTGGATACACTATGAGGGCAGTAGTAAGAGGAAAGTTCATTGCATGGAGTTCATCTCTTAAAAGAAGAAAAAAGTTAACAAATAAATGACCTAACATTACATCTCGAAGCCCTTGAAAAAGAACAACAAATCAACACCCAAAGCAGTAAAAGACAGGTCATAATTAAAATCAAAGCTGATATCAATGAAACTGAAACTTCACATGAAACTTCTGACCCTCACAAGACATGTTGCATGTGAACCCAGGTCCACCAGAAGCCCTCCTGGATTTACTGTACACAAGGAAGGCTCTACTACACCTTACCAGGGCCCAGGAAAAAAGGATCTCCCTCTACTAAAATAAGTCTCTATTCCATCCTGTGGACACTTTGAATTATAAGCACCTCCTTCCTTATTTCATCCCTGGTTAGAAAAGAAAACTGAACCAGAATCTAAATGAAACTCAGTTAGCTGTTAATAAAGAACCTTTAAAAGTTGAGAGTCTGTTGACTCAGATACTTTGAGAAGATTAGCCCTGAGCTAGCCAATATATCTTCTTAGATTAAAAAGGAAAATATTCGCAAATATAAGCATACCTGTTAGCATAAAAATTAAGTTAAATCTGTATTTGTTCTGTATCTTGTCATCTTAGAGTTGAGTTTCTAGCTCACTTGCTAAAATAGGCAAAGACCTTTCATATCACATTGAAAGGTTTGCCATTGCTCTGCAGTCACAGGGACCTGTGGCCTGCAACCTGAGACCGTGCTGTAGCTGTATTTCCCAGGTAACAAATGTTCTTAGAATGTATGTTCCATAACACCATATTTATAGCCTCACAGTACAAATTATGTCTGTCATAAAAGGCCAGTTGTTCCCACCTGCTATGGTGACAAATGGCCTCATTATGATTGCCCCGCTACGCATTTGTGATCCAGCCCTAATCCACTTGGTGTTTATAAAAAGACTTAAAGGAAGTCTTAGAATGAGGCAAATAGCTGAAATCATAGCCTACGTGGAAAACATGTACAAGTGATAGCCGGAGACACAGATTTACTTGTAAATATAAATGAAACCTCAGGCTGGCCTGCAGTCCTTCCGCAGAGGGCAGCTCTGTTAAAGGTGGGAGTTCCGACTCAGCGTGGATTAGACCCTGAGCCTCCTGCCCTGGCCACCTTAGTTCTAAGACTCAAGCCACATGTTTCTGTGGTGGCCTTACACTCACCAACTGCTCAGCTGGCACCGCATCTCCCAGAACCCCTCCCCTGGGTGGTTCTTGGTCAACACTGCCCTCGAGAAACACTGGGTTCAAGACTCAGAAGGTGGGAGTGAGGCAGCAGCCGTGCTAGTGTGCCGAAGGTATGCACGGTGACCTGCGTGGTGACCTGCATTGTGTTCTGCTGGCTCGTTGTGTGGGCATGGGGCGGCACTGGCCTTTCTTGCTCCAGCCCTCTCAAGACACCCTCCTTCAGCTTCCTTGAAGTCTCCGCCACCTCCCTGCCAGAGGACCCCAGCTTCTTCCTCAGGCCCCCCGCATCACTGCAAGTGGAACCCTGGCTGGAGGTAGAGTCCAGGGCTGCTCCCTTCATCCTCAGAGGTCCCCAGGCGCCCCTCTGTGCCCATTTCCTGTCTGTCTTCCTTCCCAGCAGCCCGAGCAAGCTCACTTCCTCTCAGCGCAGGGTGCAGAGACATGGCTCTGTGCAGTCTCACCAGCTCCTGCCTGTGCATAAGGTCAGATCCCGAGACCAGCTCCTATTCCCCAGCCAGAGGGGTTCTGCATCTTACCCACACCCTGCCTGATGGGGACCCCAAACGCCCCTGGCAGCAGCTCCAGCATCCACACCTGTGTTCCCCACTAAGTTTCAGTTTTTGCTTCTTTTCTGACACCTGGATGTTTTGTTCTCTTTATCACAAGCTTGTATGTGCATTCATTGAAATGGATTCTTTTTATTAAAACCTTGTCCCTGGTGTCACAGGAGCATTTCAAGGTTAGCTGAGATCCACCACATTGTCAGAAAAAAGAAGTCCAACCTGACCATCTGACCTGCTGCCCCCCTGCCGTCCTCCCCAACACCCTGGCTCTAGGAGCCTGTTAGCTGCACTGGCATCCATGGGAAGCAGCCCACACGAGCACCCTCCTGTGGCCCCCTCCACATGCTAGTATTTAATGGAGACCCTCTTTTTCACCAGTTTTAGCTCTGCAGGGGTCAGGCATGGGCGGATTCTTGGGGCAGAAGGAAGACAGAAACGCTGGAGCTGTTTTCCTGAGCTACCCAGGAGGGACAGTTCCCATCCCAGAGCTTTAACTTCCCTTGGAAAGCAACCCAGCTTAATTTCTCCTAGTGAATATGCGGCCCTCCTGCTAACATCCCCGAGGCTGACCCCTTGCTGAGGTTTTACTACTTCCAGAGGGTCACTGAAGTACTTGAGGACGGCTCCTGTGCACCTCTGCGATGAGCAGACCATCCCCAACATGTACATCAGAGTGTGTTTCCCATAGGAAGTAATTTGCTCCGGGTCGTGTGCACAGGACAGAGGGAGCTGGGGAGAGGGTGCTCGGGAGGTCTCAGTTCACTGGAGTTCTCCCAGGACTCGCACATCTAGTTTTGTGTCTTTGATGGATTCTGTTTCATCTACCTTAAACACTGTTTCCCAAGGCCTATTTGATGCCTAAAAACATCTCCTTGCTTTCACCAAATAGGTGGGATCCCTCTTTGAGATCTTCCTGGGTCTTTATAGGCAAGCTCTCCCCACCTCCATCAGAGCCGGATAGAATAATCTCCCTTTTCCTCCCACAGCGCCTGTCGTGTCTTCCTTATGGGAATCTTATGAGCACATCTCTCTTCCCAAATCCTTCTTTAAAACTATGAGGGGGAGAGAAAGAGAAATCAGAGCCAAAAGGAAACGAGAAAAACAAAGTGAGGGCAAGATGTCTTTCAAATTGTGAGAAAGTAGTGAAATCTACACAATTATGAACAGTCTACATTAGATACCAGCAATGTCCCCACCAACAGTCATTGTGCTCACAGACTCCAGTGACTTCTCTTTTCACCCTTGACTAGATAGAAATCCAGGAGGGAAGTCAGATAGTGCCTCCTCCATAGAATTTTGTAACTAAGAGGACTGAGGCTCATGCAGGTGAAGAATTGTCCTCTTAATTAGCAAGGGACAAGCTAGACCTAAAAATATTGACTCCTGTTCTGGTAATCTGCCTGTTACACATGGGCTAGCTGCAGGTTGAACCATCTAGGAGGTAACCAGGAACCCTGGAAAAGCTGAGGTTATTTGAAGGAGAAGGCGGAGCAGGGAGAATGACCGTGCAGGTCTGGGCAGCAGCGACGCACACTATCCTCAGCACTGGGAGAAGACATCTTGGGCCAGGGGCTGCTCCCCCTACAGCTGGTCTATGACGTGGCCCACTGCACACCAGCTGGGACCACCCAGAGCAGGGAGCCTGGGCATCAGGGGGCAGGGTTCCATGGTTCTGGGGCCACAGGGAGTCTTAAGAGCTACCAGAAAGGCCTTGGCAGGTTGAGAGCTTCCCGTGGCCACGGAGGGCTTGGGAAGACCTGTCCTAGAGAGACCGGGCTTGAGCCAGTGCTGTTGCCACCGCTGCCCTGCCACCTCACTGAGCCTCTGTTTGCTCATCCATGAGTGAGAATGAGATCTGCACCTCGCTGGGAAAATTCCATGAGGTTTTCTATGTGAAACGCCCATTACAAAATAGGAGGATAATGAATCCTAGGGAGGGGGAAATAAAGCATAAATAAATAAGCTCCTATATGCACTAGGGAATTTTGCAAGGCCAGTTCACCTCTTGTATTTCATTATGTGATCATCCAAATAGTTAATAATCTTAGCTGAGTAGCCTATAAATGCCCACACTATAGCAGTTATGCAGACTTGTGAGTACTTTAACTTTTGTAGTGACTGAGATTCCTTTTGCTCTTAATTCCCTGTAAGTAAAACCTGTCTTGGTGCACAAAAGACGATTTCTTCCAACACTTTGCTGGGGGAAGCTCACTGAAGCAATTGTAGATACGCAGCTCTGCACCCAGATCAACGCTGAGCTTCATTCTGGGTCTGCATTCAGTTACATGACGATGGAGTCCTGCAAGTCCAGCCCCTGGCTAACCCCAGTGCCCCTCAGGACCTGCAGAGTCGGCTACGTGTGAAATGCATGTTCTGGGTTACAAAGGCTCCAGCTCTCTGTGAAAATGAAGGGGGCCTTGCTTCTGCGTGGTGCGTGCTACAGAGTGAAGAAACTTAACCACGGCCACGAGACAGAGAGAACTAACTCAGAAAAGCAGAGGAGGGGCGGCAGAAGAGATGAAGCTTGCCTCAAGGGATTTCAGCAAAAAGCTCCTTCAGAGTAATGAGAAAGGAAATTTTTAGAAATTGGTAGTGGAGGCTCTGCTAGAGATTAAAGTAAGACCCTGGGAAGAGGAGGGGTTGACTCAACTTCGGCAGCAGGGCTACGTGCCAGGTGGCTTGAGCAGAGCAGAACTGAGCATCAACAGTGGTCAGCTCCTGCTGCCCACAGACCTCAGGAAACAGCAGCGGCCAGCCTTTCTCCCTCCGTGTCCCCGTCTATAATGTGGAAGGGTTGAAGGAGCCCAGCCTGGGCATCAAGCAGAGCAGGGTTCAGAGCTCAGTGTCACTACCAGCTGTGCAGTTGGGCAGGTGAGAGTCAGCGTCCCTGGCTGAGTGTCTCTAAACCGCCTTCCTCGTCCCCATCCGACAGTGCTTCCTCGTCCCCATCCGACAGTGGCGCAGCATCCGACAGTGGTGCCGTGGCTGCACATGCTCAGCCTGGAAAGCTCTCGCTAGGCTGGTCTCAGTGAACTATGCTAGAAAAGAAGGACACTCTGATGTTTGACTTGTTGCCCCATAATCTGCCCTCCGCCTGTCTCCTCACTTCTGCCCTGGCTATGTGCACCACGCGTCAACCGGAGGGGAGTCACCACTGTCGACTCTGTGCGGGTTCTATCACTCACCAGCTGGGGGATGAGGACAGGTTGCTTAACCTCTCTGAGCATCGTATTTTCATCTTCAAAATAAGAATGGCAGAGTTATCCACCTTTACAGGTTGTTCTGTATAGCAAAGAGAGTCAGCCCGGGGGAGATTTCTCAACATGTGGAGACCCTATATGTACATATAAGCAGGAGAGGAAACAAAATCTTCAGGACCTCAAGTGAATTGTTCAGAGTCACACACAAGGACAAAGACTTGTGAGAACGAGGATTGGGCTAGAAACTTTAAAGAACCCGAGAGAATAAAATTTTATCACTTAGACTCAAGTGGCCCTGGGTGATGCTAAATGTTATGTGGCAACGTGACTCTTAAAGCACATAGGTACACGTGACGCATTTTTGTGCATATTGTAGATATACGCTCATGGTACACACATGTACATTTCACATGAATGTGTATTGACATGTATGATCGATGCACATGATATTGACACATCTACACATAAAGAGAACGAGGAATGTACTTCTAGGGTTATTTTGTAGAAGGCAAATTTCTATTTTAAAACTCAGAAGCAGATTCTGCTTCCAGGGTGGCAACTGGGACTTGGGTTTAAGGCAGAGCCTTCCCTCACCGGGGGCAGGCTGTGAGGCAGGGGAGTTCCCCAAGTGGCAGCTTCCTCCTGAGACTGTGCCTCAGGGAAGGCCACTGCGCACAGAGGCTGTGTGGCACCCTGGGTGTCTTCAGGCTCTTTCCTCTGCCCTGTCTGTCGTGGGCCGCATTCCCGCGAGCAGAGGAAGC